GCGCGAATGGGATCATTTGGTGCTGAGGCTCAAGATACAGATATCCTGTGTAATTTTCAGCCAGAAGCCGGATGATGTGAGGGAAATGTTTTCTCTTCCCACTCTGTCCAGGGTTCATCAACTCATATACCGTGCTCTTTCCTTTGGAGAAAGTTAGCTCTCACTGGCTTACTCTGCGAAGAAAGAACAACACCACTCTTAGGTGGAACAATTACGCGGCGGAGGCAGCATGAGTCTCAAACCTCACACAAGCGCCCAGTCGACCTCATCCATATCTCCCTGAGAATCGAAAAACTGAGGCGTCAAGGGCTCTGATAAGGTAATCAATCCGAGGACACCAACTTACATGCTCTCATCGTTCCCTTCTTGGGGTGGCATCTTTTCATGCAAAGAATAAGTTGCACCTAACTTTGTTCAACCAGTTTCTTTTTGCCAATACACCACCATTGGGTTATTCACAGAAGAAACACAAGCTCACTTACTCTAAGTGAAAGGAGGGCTATGATCATAGACTAACACCTCAAGTGTACCCTCAACTCGCATGGTGTTGCAGTGCGAAGACCTCGTATATGCAACTCCGCTCTATGTTCTGCTTTTGGAAATTGGTTTCTTTTTCTGTGAGAACCAACTGGAGAGCTCATTTCCCACAAGCAGAACAATCTCAAGGCAACAATGCCACCAATAGAACGATGAGGCACTTGTTCATTTCGTCATTTTCCGTTAAAATGCATGCTTCACATTCTCATTCGAGTACGTACAGTACTCAGCAACCTGTGACTCAACGTAAGCTGGACGAGGGCGACACAAAGCTTGGGTTCTTGCGCAATTGGTATGTTCCAATCTTGGAAACAGGTGGGCATGAGAGCGTTAGTTCGGTTCACCGTTACATTCTAATACAACATCCGTACCATGCTTTTTCTCAGCGAGAAAAGCAATGCGAGACGTTCCTGGGCAGCATTCAGACCAATATAAACCAGCTCTGCGGCTGATGATGCCGAAAAATCAAACCAAGAGCACACTGGGTTGTGAATTTACATCGATAGCGAGGAGAAACTCGATCCGGATATCAAACTACCTGGATCAACACGAGCAAGAAGAATATTGAGTCTTTTGCTGAAGCGAAATGAACACTTGGAACTTCCGAACATAAGCTGAGATACACAGAATAGAAATGATGGCGATACAATTGCTGAATATTTGTTTTACAGGCGTGAGGCCAGGAGATGTTTGAACACATGTCGGATGTGATGTCAACGGCATCGCACGCCGAGAACGCAGTCTCCAAACTTTGGTAAATACTGCCCACGTTCGTCATGATAGGTAAATGATTGTGTAACCTGGCCGGATGCTAAAGATGAGGCTCGCCGTGAATAGGTGGGCTCTACGATGGCTCCATTTCTGACGGGCGTTGAGAAAACGAAGCTAAAACCGTGGTCCAAAAAGCATCACCGTAGATACATGGGTTATCTGGGCTTGCCCTCATACTTGTTGCCCGCTTGCGGGATGAAGTGCCTCAAGTGACCACTCAACCATGCTATTTGATTCAATTTCAGGATTAGTGTGTAAAAATTGGTATCATATTCGATCATCATCACAACAAAGCTAACACCTGCGAGTTCCCGTTGCTATGTCCTGCTAATCCGGCAATCAAAGCAAAGCTCAAAAACCATTTACTTCTTCTGGTATACCATGATTAAAGCCCAGCGATGACGCTCTGTATGCCAACACTACTGGCATCTTCGCGCCGCTGGACAAAGGCCTTGAAGTCGGCCTTGGAGAGCTTCTTGCCCATACCGGAGGGTCCAGTGGCGAGCGTGCGCGACTTTTCTTTGAGAGCCTCCGGTCCAATGATGAACAGCGATCCAATGTCGGTGAGGAGCTCGACCGAGGCCTCGACATCGGCGGCAAGGGACCACTCCTTGATGGTGGAGACGTACTTTGATAGATCCTGCGCGACCATGAGACCTCCGGTGGCGTTAACCTGGAATTTCTTGAAGTGGTCAAAGAGCAGAGCCAGCACGGCAAGGGCAACCTCGGAGCTCCAGACCTCCAAGTTCTGGCCGTCAACAGCCTGAGAGGCGTGACGAGACACGCTGGAAAGGAACTGACTGATTTGCAGACAGGTTGGGGTTTGCAGGGAGTCGATATCCCCGTCTCGTGGACGGAAGTCGAACTTCTTTTGGTTCGCAAGCGAACGGGTGACCCAGTTGGTAACGACGTCGATGGAGCTACGCATGACGGCGTTGGTCTTGCGCTCGATACCGTCGATGGCAGATTTTGTCTGCGCTGACATATTACGACGGACGGTCGTGTTTGACTCAGCCAGCTTGATAAGGACAGTGGTGATGAAGCGCTCCATGATACTGGTGATAGTAACCGCAGGGCGAATGGAGGGGAGATATGTAAGATCTGGCTCCGTCTTGATGTTCTCCTGGGAGCTCGCGGCGTCCAAGGCTGCGTCGAGAGCGGTCTCGACATAGACGCGGCCCATGGTCGTGAGCAGCAGGTTGAGTAGTACGTTCACATCCTTGGGTGTCTCGACTTGAGAGCCGAGCTCAAGGGTCCTTCGAACAGACTCGGCAAGCCACTTCATCATTCTCTTTGCGTTTGCCACGCTAAGAACACCATCCTCCTCCGACACCTCTACTTCTTCCTTGTTTTCGTTGTCGCCTTGAATTCCCGCAACACGAAGCATCATAGCCTTCTGTGTGGCCGTCAATTCAGACGAATCGAGACGCTCAAGGTATGCGTCCTTGGCTGACGACAAGAGCTGCGAACTCTGTTGCGCCAAGGATGCCATGAAACCCGTAGGCGCCTTCTTTCTCTTGGAGTGGTAGGTTGTGAACTTGAAGAGCAACGAACTGTACAGTTCCTCGAGACTCTTTCTCTCGCGGTCAATGTACGAATTGCCCACAAGGTAAGGAACAAAAAGTTCTTCCATCTGTTGGTCTAGCGTTTGAGAAATTTGTGGAGAGGCTGGCTCTGGGTGCTCTGTCAGACCATGAGTCTTGAGATCCTCGATAAGACTGCTGATGTATGTCCTCGAAGAGTGCAGCGATCTCAAGAAGGCCAGGGATGAGACCTCGTTGGCTTTGTCTAGAACCATTTCGAGTCGTTGCTGAATGGACTGCTGGAACACTCTCTGGATGAACTTGATCAAGACCGTCTCGTAGTATGGGAAAGCCCTCTTGATGATGAAGGATTCCTCCTGCATGACCAGCTTGACTTCGTCAACCAGAGACTGCAGACTTGCCTCGACCCCGGGTGGGTCTGAATCTGGGTCGGCAATCTGTTCCCACGTCTCTCCATCCATCATCACCTCGTCCGAGAGTAGTTGATCTCTGTCGATAAAGAACTGGTGCTGGTTGACGAACGTAGCAATGACGCTGGCACCGCCGTTGAAGTCGTAGAGCACCTTTGAGCACTCCATCATATCGTCAAAGTTTTGGCGCCTGTAGCTATTGTTGAACTGCTTCAGGAGCTCCTGCTCGAGTGATTCTGAGAACTTCTCCAACAACTCGCGTGTATTATGAGCGCGGCTCATTCCCGTGACGCCATTGGTTACGCCGTTCCCGCGGAATCCATTCATCCCGTTTGTCTGACCCCATGATGCCGGATCCAAGCGCTGGCTGATGCGCATGAGCTGGCGAGAAATGACAGCACATCGCACCTTGTTCTCAGCGCCGCCCTGTCTCTGGATCTCTTCCAGCGACGTCAGCTGGCCGGTCTCGCTGACCTCGAGCCAGCATTGGATGAGGAAGTTGGCGTCCTGGGCACGTCTTCGTTTCCTGTCCAATTCTTCGAGCTTCTCTCCAATCTGTACGGCGATGTTGCCTCCTGCTTCTTGCCTCGCGCTTCGGTCGCCGTTCGTCGCGGGGTTATTTAGGGACAAATCGAGCGCCTCGAAGGACGCCATGGATTGGTCGAGCTTCCGGCCGAGGGTATCGAGGGTCTGATCATGCTGGGATTCAGCTCGTCGCACGTTGGACTGAAGTTCCGATTCCTTCTCCTGGAGTTCCTCGGACAGCGATCCGAGCTGCGAAAGGGCGTCTAGACACTAGTGGTCAGCGATTAAGTTGCGCAGAGGCTCGAGGTTTCGTACTCTCAAACGTTCGAATGAGCGGCTTCGGGTCGAAGGCAGGCTGTGACGGGCCAGATCTTCGATTGGCAGGTACGGCGTTCTCGGCGAGGTTGTCGACGAATTCGCGGACCACGAAGTCCTGGTTGGAGAAATCCTCGAGTGTGAAGCTGGGCCCTTGGGGAAAGAGCGACTTTGCCCCAGACGCAGCCCGCTCCATGGTTGCGGTTGGGCTGAAAGTGCTGTCGTTTCTTGCGTTGGTTCGATTGATAACAGCCCGCTACATCGTTCCCGATGATCTTTGAATCGTAGAAGAGGCACTCTAGCAGCTGGAATAATTGTGATCCAGGGAAGGCCGAGTCCAGGTCGTTGGGATTCGATGTTTCCGCGTTTCGGGAGCACGGTATCCGCGTGGCCGTTCAAGCAGTGACGACCGAGCTGTCCCTTGGGTCCGCTTTGGGTTAGCGCAAGTGATCCGAAGTCACTTCCCCGCCGTCGTTGGCCCGTGTGTACTTTGAGATCAAGCTTGCACGTGATGCTAGCATGGAAGTAATGTTACTGACTTCAGCAGCACCACCTCCTGACAACGTCGCGGCTACAACGCAGACAGAATGACCATCTCAACGCATTGGAGGCACTCAGAAGGCCTCGAGTGAGGAAATCGCGAGTCAAATTCAATATCTGCCCTGAAAGTAAAGCAAATCGCTGTGCGCTATGTATCTGCTCTATCTGCATCCTGTTCCCTCCTGCCTTCCTCTCCTTCTCAAATAGAGCATAAACCATGCGCGTTTTCTTGTTCTGCCGCGCTCGCAAGTGCCGACTTCTCTATTCTTCACACCATATACCAAAGCCTTCGTTTGGTCCTGAACTCTTGTTTCTCTTCTCCACATTCGAACTTTTTCCCTGGGGCGGCCGTCAATTCTCAAGCTGCGTTCAAGAGCTGGAGCACAAGTGAATCCGGGTCCTTGGGAGAGCCTGGTCCAGTGACCAGAGACTCTGGGTCGCTGAGGTGCGAGTCGGAGTTGGGTGTGCCAGGAGGGGTGCCTGGACCACTAGGCTTGACTTCGACGGTGCTTGGCTCAGCAATGTGGGAGCTCGCATCATGGAAATCGTCTGGAGCAGGGCGAGAGCTCGAGCCGAGGTTTTCGCCTTCGGCATGTTGATGGCTTGGAGTGTCAGCATTATTTCCAGTAGAATCGGCTGCTGCAAGCGTAACTCCATTCGAGCTAGCAATCGAACCAGAGCTATCGAGGTCGGACTCTGGCAAATCATTGGCATCGTCATCATCGTTAACCAACTGCCGCAGCCTTTTGAACGGACGGGCCGCTTCTTGCATGTCGGAGGCCTGTTCTCTCAGCCTCTTAACCCATCGGTCAACGATTGCAGCGCCTGTGGTGTGCGTGCCTGCGCCAAGACTTGCCGCGAGTCGGCAGTTCTCCGCGTGGACGACGAGCTGTCTGTCCATATTGTCGATGACTCCCGAAAGGAAGTCTTGGATCCTGTCTCGAGGGGTAGCTTCCTTTGACTGAGATAGGGCACCAACCTCCTTCCGAACCATCTCGAAGGCGAGGAACACCTTCATCTTCAACTCCGGCTCCGCAGCATATCTCGCGTCGCAAAGGTACGCAAGCGTCAGGAGGAAGTCTTGAATTATGTCCCAGCTCAGTACGACAACGCCCTCCGCGTCGCTGCTCAACACGATGGATGCGACATGAACGAGAAAGTGGTTCAAATTCGTCAATGATTCCCGTCTCAAGAACGGATAGAGACCCTGTAGGTAATCTGTCAGTGGGCCTGGGACCTAGCTGTAGATTGTGCAGTCTCGGAGGGGTAACCTACGAAGAACTCGTCTACCGCCAACTTTGCATGCCGTTGCTTGAGTCTCTTCTTGCGAATGAAGGCGTCGAGGTAGGTAGAGCTCGGGAAGATGGGAAACTCGACTTTCGTCAGTTTTCCGACCTCGCCTCTGATCTCATTGTACAGTTTGAGAGTCATCTTCGAACGCAAGTCTGCAAGGCCAGGTCTGAGTCTCACGATTTGGCTCGCGTCGACAGGGTTGAGAGCAGATGCAGGGGCAGTAGAAGCATTGTGCAGGACCTGGAAACCCGGCGAGTTCCCGGCACCAAACCCGGCGCCAATACCGGCACTGGCAACCGCAGAGTTGCTGGTTCCGGGCATGCGCACACCTGGCTTGAACTTAGCCTTGGCCTTGGCCCTGCCAGACTTCTGCTTTGCTGACTCTTCTGCTTTTCCCTTGTCCTTGTTGTCGTCTCCGTCGTCCTGCTCGCTGTCCTCATCGTTGTCGCTTTCCTTGCCAGTAGCTTCCACGATCAAAGCAGCCCATGTCCGACACCGTTTGTTCGCATCAATCAGGTCGTCGTCCTGGTCTCGGAATTCGGGAAAGAAGTAGACAGCCGTCGTACCACCCTTCAGTGTGAAGGCTTTGCAGATACCAGTCCTCGGATCTGGCTCAGCAAGAACGTAGTATTCAAGTCGCTTCCTGGTATTCATCGAGATGATGGCTTTGAGAGCGGTGGGTTTTCTCTGTGAGACGGTCACAGCCTCTAGCTGTTCATCCGACGCCTCCTTCTCAATGAGCTTCTTAATGGAAAGTCCCTATATGGCCTGGGAGGACTCATCAGCAGCCTCCAGGGGCAGGTGCCATCCCACCCACACGCCGCGACGTGCCTTCCTGTTGTTGCCTTCGTCCAGCTCTTGCAGGGTTGGAAGATTCGTAGTCCCTTTGGCCGTTCCATTCCTCAATCTCTCGATCAAGGCGTTGCGTACGCTTTTGTGAGTCTCATGACCAGAGAACGTAAGTATCTGATTGGGCTGACGAGCGTCGCCGAGTCCGTCATCGTAGGCATGTAGGTCGGTTCTCCAGGACCACTTGCGGGAGACCTCAGGTTGAGCAGCCATGTTGAAGAGTTGAGGCAGGAAGAGTGCTAGGATAACAATGTCGAGAAAGTAGTAGCGACGCAGTTGATGTGTGAGCAGTTACGAGTGGGGTGACTTGAGTGTCCGAAGGGTATCTTGCCAATCTCGGTATGGCGCTTGACCCGTGACTGCTTTCACAGTAACACTCAGATGAGGGTGTGAGTTGTTCTTGGCAGGTTGAGAGCTGTGAGATTGAGTGGGTTGTGTGTTTAAATAGACAAGTGCCAGCCTCAGCATGAATTGAGGACAGCAGGTGCGACGATAAGATGAAAGAAGGCAAGAGAGACACGGGGAAGGAAAGGAAGTTGAAGCATTTAGAAGGAAGAGATGGTGATGATGATGGTGAGCGCAGCAACGCCAAAGTAATGTCTCGAGTAGCAAGTGGCGATGGCAACTTGTGTCTGCAAGTCTCTATTGCACGACTATCAGAGACACACAGGGGCCCACCTGTGCTCTCTCGCTCTACTCCTTCCGCTTTAACTGGCGAGGCAGGTTCAGCCTCCTTCTTTCTAAGCTTCACTCCTGGACTCGGAAGGCAGCAACTCGCACTCTCACATCCTCCCCCGGCTTGGAAAAAAACACCCATATTCTCCCCTTGCTCAGCCAACTCCTCTCCCCTCAAAACACACTACCTTGCTATCCAATCACCACTACTCTGAGCAGGACATTGTACATTTTCTTCGTTCAATTCATACCTTGCATACTATCACAAGCAAGTTCTTATACACACGCCGAAGACACAATCTCCGTCAAACAGCATGCCACCCAAGAGAGAAAGCCTCCCACGGGCAGCCAAAAATTCCACCGACGTGGGGGATGACGCGGGCAAGAGTACTACAGAGCCGGTGCATCTCGGCGAGGCAGGCACTAACGTCGCAACGACCAGAGGAAAGAAGACCAGGGGAAGGCCCAGAGGAAGCAAAACCAGAGGAAACCAGATCAGAGGAAATCAGACCAGGGGAAACCAGACCAGAGGGAACAAGCGGTCCAGGCATGGTTCGAAGACCCCGTTGGACGAGATCCACGTTTCAAGCGGAGGTTCGCTAGGTGCGTCCAACAAGAAGCAGGCCGTCAATTCTCCTCCCCAGATCGCCACCCCTCCCCGCTCCTCGGAACCCCCTTCTGTTCCTCTCGAATTGGAATTCTTGGTTAGAGGAGACCACGACAAGCGCATATCCTCGGACGAGCGAGCCAGAAGACGTCAGATCCAGGAAGACATCGACTGGCTCGGCAAGTGGCTCCTAGAGTATGCTTACCACCAAATCAAGAAAGAGCAGGGGCTATATCCCGAAGGGCCAGTCGAAGTCGCGGACGATTTAGTTGCGTCTAGTTTTTGGTGGCGCGAAGCCATTGGTACTATCTCCAAGGAGGACGTTATGGAGCAGTTTCGTGTGCTCGAAAGGCAATTACACGAAGCTCCCGATAAGGTGTTTGTGCAAGCCATGTTTGGTTGGACCAGCTACCAGATGTGGAAGGATGGTCGCAACATTCAGGTCATAAAGGGTCATGCTGTGGTCTGGAGCCACGTGCAAGGCGTGGATATCGAGGATGAGTATTGGCAGATGCTTCGACAGGGCTTCCGTGAGTAGTAAACACCTTTGCACCCAAGTCTCGGCTCCCGGTTCCTCAACAAACCCTTGTTTGTTATTCTTGTCTGCGAGCTCAGGCTTTCGATTGTAGAGCAGAGAAGACGGGACAGAGTGCATGAGGTCTCCTTACAGATATTGATTTCCAAAGCAAATACTGTACTCAGACGACCCTCTTACTCTCTCTGAACTCCAAGTGATGCTCTCCTCATTTCGGTTGACGATGTTTGACAGAAGATGACCACATTCAGAGGTCACCTCTCTCCCATCGGTCGAAGCTCTGACGAAGGAAGCCTGAATGGGGTAAGTGACGGAGCCGGCTGTGGCGCGCGCCGCCCTCCGCGATGCATGCCCTACGGAGCGCTCCAAGGCCAGCTCTGACGTCGAGCAACAGGGCATCAGCAGCCTATCACAGCACGGCCAAGGTGCCGACTCGTCAGCGTATGATGCTTAACAGGATCGATCCGTCAACCCTATGGCGGCAGGACAGAGACGACGTGAGTCTGGCCTTAGACATCACAACACAATGTCAAGTAGCCATACTAAACCCCCCTCCCCAATCATGATAGTCACAACACAAGTCACTCCAGTTCAGGTGCATGTTTCAACTTGACAAGCCATCGATTGAACAGCCCTACAAGCAGTTGATAGAAATAATACAATAATGCCACCCCCCCTTTTTCATCTTCATCAAGAGTAGCAGGTGGTTTCAACAACCAAACCGGGTTGAACAACAAGCCCCTTCAACTTCCTTCCATCCCCTCTCCCCTTTCCCTTCCAAATGTCAACCTCCACCCTCCCCTCTTTCATCTTTCCACCAAATCAAGTGGGGAAGTAAAGTGACAGAAACCATCAAAAAAAGCCCCAAGAAGTGATGAACAACTTCCTCTCCTCCAACACCCCTTCTCCTAAGCACCCTTGAGGTGTGTTGTATGACAAAAAATTGATAATTACATTGCCAAGTACCAGACAAAAGACAAACTTCAACAAGCGACGTTGCTGTGAATCCTTTTTGTGGCTTGGACGTGTGTTGATGGAGTTCTCTGCGATATTGGTATCACGGAAATGACTGACTGCGAAGGGAACGACCTGTCCCGGGTCTCGCTCTAAAACAGGAATGTACAGAAGAGAGATGCTAGAAGCGAAGAAGAAAAAAGCAAGAGATGGAAGAGAAAAACATGTGGAGGAAAATCGGGAAAAGAGGATGTGAAAAGAGAACTGTGGGAAGCCGTGTTCACGAGCGGATGAAGAGAATTACGCCGCCCGAGGAAACATGCCATGCCTGCGGTCGTGCGAGAGTGTGTGAGTGAGAGCGAGGGTGAGGTGGTGTGATGCGAGTGTGTAGTAGTAATGGAAATAATGTGCGCGGCGGATGGTTTAGGTAGGCGATAATGGGAAAGTAAGGGCACGCCGAGTATGTGTGTGCGTCTCTACGAGACTCATGTGGTAATATTGGGATTGTAACGAGTGGTGGACTTTTGAGTGCTCTAAGCCGTCTATGCTGAATGGAGGCCCCCGCCGAAAACGATGCTCCGGAAAAGACCTGGGTATAAAAGTGGAAGGACGGATCATGATTGGGATGTCGTGAAGGCGCCATGGCCGAGAACGGAGCTCGGAGAGGTTGCGCAGAGGCGATTAGTGTCTCGTCACCGCCATGACTTCAAGTGAATCGCCGGCTATACCTAGCGTTGATTTTGCTTGGCCTTGTTGATCTCGCCGAGGTTCAGCCAGCTCATGTCTGACGATGTTGAAGCCATGGCAAGCGGGGGCTGCTGGCTTACACCACTCGGATGGCCCTGGCCCGGCGGCCTTGATGGGATGCTTGGTGCCAGAGACGTCGGGTAAAGGCTCTCAGCGTAGACACTGCTCGGGGCACGATCCGCACCCCATGGCTTCTTGTAGCTGCCAATGGGGTCCCAGGTATCACGGACGCTCTCAGGAATGCCACTTGAGTAGCCAGATGAGGCGTCCGAGGTAGGTCGTCGGGGTGATTCGATCTTGGCAGAAACTCCGTCTCTGAAGGGGATCTGGTTTGAGTAGTCCGAGACAGTAGGGCTGCCTGAGACCACGCGGTTGAGCTCCGGCCGGCCATCGTGCCGAATGGGCGGTACGGTGGACAGATCCTGGGTGATGAGGTGAAGGGGTGGGACGGTGGCAGAGTCCTGAGTAATCCGGTTCTTGTTCGAGTAGTGAGAGGTTTCCGAGTCGACGGTGGTCCGCTTCGAGTTGCCGAATCCGAGGATGTTGAGAGCGCTGCCGCCAGACCAGTATCGGTTCCAGCCTGAGCTTCTGCGGGTCTCACCAGGTCGTCCCATCTGGTTTCCACGAGTTGTGGGGCGGGGTTCAACGGTGTCAGCGGCAAAAGAGACGCCCTTCTCGTCACGGGAAGGCGGTGCCAGGTTGGGAACCTCGTTGACCTGCGGCATGGGCTTGCTGATAGTGCTCTTGAAGAAGCTGTTCGTAGAGCCACGCTTGAAGTCGTTGCTAGGGCCGCGAGGAGCGACGTTGGCGTTGGACTTGGGACCGTTGGCCTTGCCCATCAAGATAGCCATCGAGGAGAAGGATCCAGCCGAATCGGACTGCTGGTGTCCTCGGAAACCGGGAGCGGGGCCAAAGTCGTTGTTGCCGTAACCGAGTCCAGCCTTCTCGTCGGGGAAGCCGCGTTGGCCTTGCTCGGGGTTGGGCTGGTTCTTCGCACGACGGCGGCGGATACAGAAGAGAATCAAGCCCAGGAGGATCATGATACCGGTGATAGTTCCAAGCACAATACCAAGAATGGCGTTGGCGCTGACGGAGGCGCCAACAGCGGGGGCGGCAGTCTCCGAAGAGGCAGAGGACGAAGCAGAGGCGGAGGCAGAAGCAGGGGCAGTGATGGCGGAGGAGACACTAGAGATCGCGCTCGACGAAGACTTTGAAGAGCTGCTGCTACTGCTTGAGGTGGAAGTAGCAGTCGACGAAGCACTTGTGCTGCTAGACGTCTCGCTGGTAATGAGGACAGACTGCTCGCTCAACTTCTGGTTGGCGTCTGTCCAGCTGTTTTCGCGCGCATTGAACATGCACAAAACATCGTTCGTGTTGCCTCCGGCAAAGACGACAAGACCGGTGGAGTCAGACGCGAGGGCGTAGTTGGCGCGGGTTCCCGTGGGCGCGAGGGTGCTGTTGTAGGCAGGCCAGTCTGCCAGAGTCAAATCACGCTTCGCCATCTCAGCCGCCGTTCGTGTCGTCTTCTTCGACACCGCGGCGGAGTCGGCAACAGGTGCTCCCGAAGCATCGATAAGGACCATACGCTGGACCTCGTTCGGTGAGGTCGACAGGTCGAAGGTGTACAAGCTCTTGCTTCCATCATCTCCCTTCATAAGCATCGCCCTGATCGCCGTAGTATCCTTCAAGATCGGT